TCTCCTGCATTTCTCGGTTTTAGGCTCAGGCATGGAGAATATTGATAGATAAAACCAGCTTAAATGGAAGGTCCCCACTGCTTTAAGAGGGGCCCTAAACCAGAACATGGAGCACTTCATTGCCAGGACCTGCCCAGCTGCACCGATGCGTGGCTGAGGTCTCTGGCTGATTCGGACAATGTGAGTCTGACCTGGATGGCACCTCCTTGCGCCCACCGGGGCCCTTCCTGTGACCCTGGGGTTTGGGCTTCAAACAGCTGAGATGAACTGAGTCTGCTGTTTGGGTCCCGTTCACACTTGGCACAGACACTGCTAGGCCAGCGAACTTTTGGTAAAAAGAACGCATTTCTCAATTCCTGAGGCTTTGCCTGGGGTAGGGGTGTTTGCTGGCAGTGAAGGCCCTGACTGGGACCTGTGGGTGGTAATGGGGGTGGGAAGACCCTATGGGTAGAAGTTCCGCAAGGGGAACCTGAGGGAGAGCACTGAGTTGGGAGTCAGGATCTTCGTGAACTGTGCCGACGCTGGGCAGGTTGCTTCCCCTCTCTGAGCCTCAGTCTTTTTTCTTTGCACTTTGGATTGAACCCAGTACTGAGCTACACCCCTTACCCTTTTTATTTTATTTTGAGACAGAGTCTCGCTAGGCTCACTAAATTGTTCCAGTGTGGGCTGGAACTAGCAGTCCTCCTGCCTCAGCCTCCTGAGTAGCTGGGATTGGAGGCTTCTAAATTATGAGGTGGGCGATTACTGGTAATCTGTGTCTGGGCTGCCATAGAGGTCAGATCAAAAAGTGCCCTTGGGGACACTACAGGGCAGCGGATGTGGAAGAAGGGCATCATTCAGGGCTGTTCAGACCATCTGCAAATGTCCACTATGTCTCATTTCCCTTCCTCTGGGAAGCTGTGGCACAAATCACTTGGGCAGGGGGCAGCTGGGGCTGCACTTCCCCAGTCCAGAAAGCTGGCTCTGGGCTGGCTGCAGCACTGAGGAGTCATTCAGAGGTGACTGAGCAGCAAGGCCTTGCCTGCCTTCTGCTGGGGGTGTCTGTGGGCAGAAGGTCTGGGGTGAGTGAGGTGCTTGGAATCGAGTCCTGTGACCTATGTCTGGAGACCAAAATAAGCCTGTTCGAGGCAGGAGGAGGCAGGTGCTGGAGACATCTTGCCAGCCTCATGCCTGGGCACCTCCTCTCTCCCACTGGGCTTGGCTGGGCTCTGAGCAGGGAAGGCAGGAGGTGCCTGTCTGTGTTTGCTGGGAGGAAACTGAGGCACAGTGGGGTTAGTGGTCAGAGGGCCAAGTTCATGTCAGAGCCCCAGCTGGTGTTGAGGGTGTTTGGGGTTCAAGGGTTTTCTGACCTCACAGCCCACTGACCAGCCCTGGAGCTGGCTAGGGCGTTGCCCCAGGGAGGGGAAGGCCAGGCTTCCCAGCAGCTTCTCCATCTCACACAGCGTGAGGCCGGTGCTCCTAAAATGGCCAGAGCTCCCTCACCAGGTCCTGGCTCTTTCCCCTCAGGCATCCCAGCCACAGTGTCCTCCAGATACCCCCGTGTCCCTGGTATCCCCTGGCTGTCTACAGGGGCGGGTCTTTTGGGTCCTTCCTCCGCTGGGCCATTAGCTTCCTCCCGGCCTCCTGAGTCTGCTCAGGTGACTCCCACACCCTCTGGCCATGACCACCCTGCCTCTTTCCTTTCCACTGGAACCTAGCACTTTCTGATTTGCACATTTCTTTTTGTTCAGTAGATCCTGACTTCCAGTCACCAGCTTGCTAGGTTTCCAACTCGCAGATGTAGGCAGGGACTTCTCCCCTTCTTCCATTTCCCTCCTGTTGGTTGTTTCTCCCTCAAACCTGCACGCAGAAACTACAGGCCCAATGAATGAATGAACTGAGCAGACAAACCCATGGGCCCTCTCACGCTGGGACCCTGCCCAGCCTCCTTTGGAAATTCGGCTGTGGTCTCTGTGTGTGGGGAGGGACCTCCTTGGATCCGTTCCTCACTGCTCTTCCCCCATCCATGGCTGTCTGGAAAGCCCCACCCATAGGCTTTTCCACTGCGGGGAGGGTCACCCTCTTCCTCATCTGAGGGTCAGGTGGGGCACCCCCACATCAGAATCAGGTTGTACATCCTGTAGCAGAAGTGCCCCAGATGGGAGCTGGAGCAGGAACTTCCCTGGAGTCCGGTGGTGGCCCTCGGGCACAAGCTCCATCTGTGAAGACCCAAAGTATCCCCAGCAGTAGGCATCATGGTGCTGGGAAATTGGTGTGTTCTGCTCCCACCTGATTGTTTCTGGTACTGGGGATTGAACCTAGGGCCTTAGCACTGAGTTACATTCCCAGCCCCTTTTACATTTTGAGACAGGACCTTGCTAAATCATTAAATTGCCCAAGTTGGGCTCAAACTTCCGATCCTCCCACCTCAGCCTCCCAGAGTGCTGGGGTTACAAGTGTGTGCCCCTCCTGTGATTCTCATGTGTGGTGTGGCTTGGTCTCCTGCACCTCGATTTCGTCCTCTTGAAAGGTGTACCCCTGTGTTCTCGTGTGAATATGGTGAACCCTGCCTGGGGCATAGCAGGTTTGGTGAGCTTGGTGGTTCTTATTTGCTGCTGGACTGTACATGGGTGGGCGTGACCTTTCCTGGAAGTGGTTTGGTGTTACAAAGCAAGATGCACTAAACAGCTGCACTTGGTCTTTCCCCTTCTGGGGATCTGTTCAGAGGACATGGAAAAAAACCTTGTGTACAAAGACATGTGTCATGGCATTTCAGGGCAGTCATTGACAATGGATTATTTTGTTTTGAGACAGGGTCTCACAGTGTAGTTCAGGCTGGCCTTGGACTAACTCTGTAGGTCAGGCTGGTCTCAAACTCATGGCGATACGCCTGCCTCAGCCTTTCGAATGCTGGGATTACAAGCATGCACCACTACGCCTGGTGACAATGGTGTTTTTATAGATTGCTTAAGCCTTTGGGAAAATGCCCATAACATACTAAGCAAAAACATGAGAGTTGTTTAAAAATGTGCAAATATTGCAAATTTTTATTTGTAATAAAAAAATATATATATAGAAAGAGAAAGCATAAATTTTCTGGGTGGGAGGGATGGCGATGAAAATTCAAGGCCAACTCCTTCCCTCCTCCTACACCAGCACTGTGTTTTGGAAAAAAAAATATAGGTTTATATATGGACATGTTACAGTCACATGTACTTGAGTATATGAGGTGTGATTGAAAAATATGATGAATATTTAATTTTAAAAAATTACAGTAAAAGACACATTGCCATGGGTCCCCTTCAGAATCCAACCCATCACTTTGAGCACACTTATCCATCGCTCTTGCCACTTTCCAAAACAGTTCTAGAGTCCTCTTTTATGTCTTTAGTTGCACTGTTGTGGCTGCCTTGATGTCTTCAGTTGATTCAAAATGTTCCCCTTTTGTGGTCATTTTTTTTTTTTGGTACCTGGGATCGAACTCGGGACCTTGCGCCTGTGAGGCAGGAGCTGGAACCACTGAGCTACATCCCGGCCCTCTTTCGTCATTATTTTGACTTTGGGGAAGATCCAGAGTCCCACAGTGCCAGATCCAGTGCATAAGGTGGATGAAGACACAGTGTCATATTTTTACCAGCCTGCTTTCCATTGGATGGCACCCAGCAGCAGTGTTGACTATATATATATATATTTTTTGGTACCAGGGATCGAACTGAGGACCTTGCACTTTCAAGGCAGGCGCGATGCCACTGAGCTAAATCCCTGGCCCTATTGACAATATTTTTAATCACACCCTGTAAAGACTCACGAAAGAGGACTTCCAGAACTGCTCAGAAAGTGGCAAGAACAATGTGGTGTGTTTGCAGCGAGGGAGAGGACTTTGAGGGGATTCGTGGCCATGTGTCTTTTACCGGGACTGTTTACACACCATATATCTCCGCTGTACTCTGTAAGCTTATTTTGCAGATTCGTGTTTTAAATTAGGGTTGGCTGAAGAGCTCATGAAGCTCTCCATTCTCCCCACTGCTGGTTTCCCCAGGGGCTGTGAGGGCCCAGAACTCGCGCCCTGTGAGGAGGTTGTGCAGGCTGGGCTGGGCTTCCTGGGATGAGCGCCCCGGCCCCTGTGTCAGCTCAGCCCTGGTTCGTCTCCCGCCCCTCTGTCTTTTCTTTGCCCCTCCACTCCTGTTTCCCCCCAGCACTGCCCCTTCCTTTATCTCTGCTCCTTGATGGCGCCCCAAGCTGCCCCCCAGCCATGTTATCATCTGCACAGGACATAAGGGCAGGCCTAAGCACTCAAGGGCAGAGCCAGGCACTGCCCGAGGCTTCTCAGGTGTGTTTCGGGTGAGCACAGTGCCACCCCAGTCCTTGGTCCGATTTGCAGCACGATGGTCACAGCGCCCATCTGCCTGGTCCCCTCGCCCCACCTGGCTGTCCCGCTGGTTCCAAGCCTCTCCCTGCTTCTCTCCGTCACACCCGGGCCAGCCTTGCCTACTTCATTTGTATCTCTGGCCCCTGGCACTCATGTGGCCTGGAGCTTCTGGGTCTGGGGGCTGTTGGGTGGCTTTCCTCCCCCACTTATCCCCCCTGGGGGCACATAGGGCTCCCGTGGGAAGCTGAGGTTGTAGGCCCTGTGAAGGGGTCCACTTTGTAATCATGAAGTGGAGAGCCATCTCTGGTGTCCTGTCTGGAGGGACTCCTCTGGCTTTTCAGGGGCCCGGGGCAACTGGTGGAGGTGTCTTGTCATGTCCCTTCCTCCCGAGGGCTCAGGGGAGAGTTGGTGGCCTTGCAGGGACCTGTGGAAACACCTGCCTGTCTGGGGCAGAACAGGCTCCCCTGCTCAATTCTGGATTAAGGACTCAGCCTGCTAGAGAAGGGGAAGTAGTTTCTCTGCCTGGGCTGCGGGCAGTGTCAGGTCCTGGGGCATAGATGCCAGGCCCTGGGAAAGCTACCCTGTTCTCCTGTGGAGACCACAGGCCTGCACATGCCCAGCAGTGACAGTGGCACCTCTGTCTACTCCACAGGTGCTAGGCCTGGAGGTGCCCATGCCTTCCCTCAACGTGCTCAGGAGGTGCAGCGCCAGACAGAGCCATGCCCCATGTGCCCACTGGTGGCCCCTGCAGCCCTGCCTGTCAGCCCAAGGGACAGTTCCATAGGAGACCGTGACTGTCCCCTGGGCAGCTCATGGTCAGCGACAGGGGCTCCTGGGAGTGGCTAGGCCCCACCTGCCTGCCATGCTGCCCTGTAGGCCGGCCCAGGAGTTCAGCTTCGGGCCTCGCATGCTGCGGGACGCCCTGGTCTCCAGCGACACAGGGCTGCAGCAGTGCTACACTGGTGCCTTCTCCCTGGCTGAGCGGCTGTTCCTGGCTGAGGCCTACAACCCACACAGGACCCTCTTCCACCCACTGCTCATCTACTCAGCCTTCGACTGGCTCCTGAGCCGCCCCGAGGCCCCTGAGGACTTCGCCAGCTTCCACGCTGCCCTGCCACACCGCACACAGAGTCTGCCACGGAAGCACATTTACCTGCAGCCCATAGGTACAGAGGGCCAGGACCAGCCTGGCACTGCCCCCTGTGGGGCTGCAGTGGGATGGGTGGCTCAGGATTTGGGGTGGGCAGGGAGGCCTGGTGCCCTTGGCTTGCCCCACCCGCCTCTGACACGGTCAGAGGCTACAGGAGGGTTTGACCTGCAGGTGCTTCGTGGCCCAGGTGTGCATGGTCCCAGCCACATCTGCTGAAACCAGCACCACCCCAGGGCCCATGCTGTACAAAATAACTTCCGTTTGGGTTGTTAGATCAGCTCATTTCACAGGTGGGGAAACTGAGGCTGGAGGAGGTCAACTGACCAGCATTGGAAGAGGCAGGATTTGAATGCTGCTATCCCGGGAGATGCTAGGCTGAGTGTGGCTGGTGTAGCCTAGGGCTTTTTATCTGGCAGAGGCTGGGGACACTGGGGGCCGAGGGCTGTGAGAACAGCTAGGCCAGGCGCTGGGGGTGGTGAGGGAGACTGGCCTCTGGGACCTCAGCACACAGGTGGCCCAGTGTGGTGGGGAGGGTCTGCAGGTAATACGGCGCCGGGCTTGGGAGCGGAGGCCAGGTGTGTTGGCCTTGCCCGAGGCAGGTTGTTTCCCCCTGGGATCCACAGCGGCCCCTCCCTGCCGTGGGGGACAGCGCTGTGGGCACTGAGAGTCTCATGCTCTGTCACCCTGCAGCTCGTGGGCTCTGCTCAGACCTCTCTGGGACCAGTCCCTTCTCACCACGTTCCCTGCAGACAGCTCTGGTCTTCTCACTCTGCTGGGTGACAAGCAGTGCCTCACTTAAGTGCGGGGTTTGGGATAGGGGCAGGTGACAGGTCAGGACGAGGACGTTGGTCTTCACCCTGGTCTGTGTCCTTGTCCTCCTAGTGTGCCGTCTGGCTTAGTCCCTCCCTTGCCCACATTGGTGCCAGCCCTTCTGCTCCAGCCAAGCTGGTCTTTTGCAGCCTGCATGGAGCACACGAGCTGCTGCCGCCCTCTGCTGGCTGCCCTTTAAGTCAGCGCTTCACTGAGCAGGGCTGGCCATTCTGCCTCCAGATCTGAGCGAGGCACCAGTGGGCTTCCCCCTGCTGGACTACCTGCGGAGCTGCGCCGAGGCCTTCTTCCTTGGCCTGAGAGTCAAGTGCCTGCCCTCCGTGGCTGCTGAATCCATCAGCTGCTCCTCACGTCCCCGCAGGGACTCAGATGGGCTGCAGCTGAATACAGGTGAGTAAGGCCAGGGCAGGTGCAGTGGAGGAGGGAAGGAAGAGGTGAGGGAAACAAGGTCGGTGCCCAGCTTGAAGTGTCTGTGGACTTCACAGCCCAGGGCCAGCTGGAACAGTGTGCAGTGGGCATGGCAGGTGAAGCAGCTGCTGGAGGGCGCTGGGCAGCTCTCCAGCCTCTTGTTTGCAAAGGTCTGTGTGTCTGTCCAGGGAATTGCTGACCCTGCCCCACCATCCTTGGGGTCACTGGCCGCTGGGATGGGGCCAGCTGAGAGGCAACCTCGCACAGGACTCTGGGTGTGAGCGCAGGGAGGTCCCTGAGAAGGGGCTGATGTGGGGCCTGGGATCAGTGGGTTGGAACTCGATTGGCCACAGTTCTGGGAAACTCAGCCATTCGGATGCTGCCCAGCCTGTGCCCGATCTCTGCCTGGGGCTCACTGCACGCGTAGGAGCCCGGCTGCCCTCTTCCCTGGCCATCTTCTCTGAGCTTTTGGGGTTCTGCTGGTTCTCCACCTATGAGGACTGACCGGGGCTGCATCTGTCATGCTCTTAACCGCATACGGAGTTCCTCCTCTCTGCCATGTGTCTCAGTTTTGCGGCTTCCCTCAGATCCTTTCTCAGCTCAGCAGCGTCACCATTCTGCCTGTACCCAGCGGCCCTGTCCTGGGCCCTGCTGTGGACAATGTTTGTTATTCCTGCTGTTTTGCCTCAGTTGTTTACTTGTGCTATTTTCCATTATTTATTGACGTCTTATTTGAAAACTCAGTGTACCTGTTAGGATGATTTCTGCCTGGGATGAGCTTTTTCTGCAGATGGGATTTTCTCTTTCTGGTGTTTTGAGGCAGGGTCTCCCTTTGTAGTTCAGGCTGGCCCTGAACTTACAGTGTTCCCCAAGCTGGCCTTGAATGCATGGTGATCCTCCCGCCTCAGCCTCCTGAGTGCTGGGATCACAGACGTGTGCCACCATGCCGGGCTCAGATGGAATTTTCTTTTCCCTCTGCCAGGCCCTGGCTGGGACAAAGACGCTACACTGTCCTGGGTGACTCTGTATCCCCCAGGGGCATTGTCTGCATCCACCCCAGGGTGTGGCATTTTAGGGATAACATGAGGGTCTCCCTGCCTGCTCTCTGCTTGGGAATGGCCCAGCTCCGTTGCATTTAGTCCAGGGCTCTCCTGTTCAGTTCCCTGGCAGGTCTCTGCTTGATTTAAGGTGTGTGGGGTGTAACTGAGTGGTAACGTTCCTCCCTGTTAGCCTTAGTCACGGGCTTTCCTCACTGTCCTGCACTCAGCCCTCCTCGTTGATGTTGAGGGCAGGGGCAGCCCTGCTGTGGTTCCCCAGCCTGCCTTGCGTTCGGGTTGACAGGACTCCCAGGCTGGGGTGTGATGCCCTCCCCCAGTGTCTGGCTTCGCAGGCGGCCACTGAGCAGGCCTGCTTGCTGGGCACAGCCCACACCCTGCAGGGCCTGGAAGGGACCCAGGGACAGCATGGCCCAACCTGGCTCTAGCCCCGAACAGAGCCTGCTCTCCCAGCGCTCTCCTCCGTACCACGGGAAGGCTGGTCGCGCCTGTGCTTATGTCACCTAACTGCTGGCCCTGGGAGACACAGGGATGACCTTCTGTCCTGCCTGTCCAGAGACTATGATACCTCAGGGACCCCTGACACCATCGCTCCCACACTTTAGGGGCTGCCTGGACACTGGGGGCTCTGACAGAAGCATCCATGGGCAGGGTGTGGGCTCAGGACAGTTGTGACTAGGCAGAGCCTGTGGTGGTGCTGAGCTGAGCCTGGCTCAGAGCTCTGTGTCTACTTCTGATAAAGTGCCAGGGACTGAGGGACTCCCACAGTGTGAAGCTCTTGTCTCGTGGAGGCTGACAGCAAGGTGTCAGGGGCCTGTGCCCTCTGAAAGCTCCAGGACGGGACCTGTCCAAGTTCCTTGGCATCCGTGGATTGCAGATGCAAGGCTCAATCTCCTCCCATCTCTTCCCTGGCCTTTTCCCATGGCTCTTCCTTCTTTTTAGGACAGTAGTCATGCTGGGTTTCAGTCCCATACTAGTGAGCTCTTGGTGACATCTGCAAGAACCTATTTCTAAATAATGTCACATTCATAGGTAGGAAAGGGTTAGGGCTTCTTTTGGGGGGACACATTTGAGTCTTTCAATCATTATCATCATCATTGTCATGTTCACAGCAAAAATTCCTTGGCCCCTCTTCAAGATCTCGGCCACTCATCTCCCAAGGTCATGCCCTAGACCCGAGCTGTCCAGGGTGGTGGCCACTGGACGTGTAAAATGTGGCCAAGCTGAGATGTGCAACAAATGTAAAACATAGACCAGATTTGAAGACTTAGAAGGAAAAACAATGTAAAAACTCCCAACCTTAAAATTCTGATTACAGGTTAATAGTTTAGATATCAGAGTTACTTGTGTAGCTTGGGCAGTTTCCATTGGACAGCAGTACCCTTGGGTGTCACCAACAGTCTGGACCATAAACATGGCCTCTGGCCTCTCCTGCTCGGTCCCTGACCGTGAACTCCTCTAGTACTGCGGAACCCCATAGTCCCACCCGCTCTGCCTCTTATCTCTTTGTCTGTCCCAGGCCGGGCTTCGGGGCTCAGCACTGTCACCCTGTGTCCTTCCACCCTCCACCCTCACAGGAACGCAGGACCATGACCCGAGGGCCCTGCCTGCTTCCCCTTCTCTTCCTTCCTGTCCTTTATGCCAGGGAAACACCATCCATGGATGATTTTGTCCCTTCCTTCCGCCCAGCTCTGACTTGGGCTTCCCTGTACCCCTTACTGGGACTCACCGACCCTGTGTAGTCCACCTTCTGCCTTAGCCCCTGTGGTGAGGCCTCTGCAGCCACCACCCTGCTTCTTTTTGGGTACAGCTCCCTGGTAGATGCTTTGCCCCTCTGCGGTCATTGAGACCATCCCCTGGGTTTGCTGGGACCGCACACCCCTCTCTGACCCTGGTCCCTCCCTGCCCCCTCTTCCCTCGGTTATGAGGGCCCCTCAGATAGAGCAGAGGGATCCCCAGCTGCACATCTCTCTCCACACCTCCAGTCCCTTTTTCCATGTGATTTAACACATGCACAGTCACAGCGCCTGGGACTGGGACGTGAGCTTCTCTGGAGCCACTGGTCAGCAGCCGTGGCAGCTGTCCCTTCCTGTGGCTGTGGTGGCACTTCCCTGACGCTGTCTCATTGGCCTGGCTGCCTTTCCAGCAACTGCACTGGGTTGTGAATGCCAATGGTTGTCTCCGTCCTGCCGGTCCAGCTTGGCAGTGACCCTGGAGGAAATAGTTGAGATGTCACTGTCAAGGGGACCCACATTCCCCTGACTCTCAGTGTGTAGCTGCTTTGAGGTCTCACACACCCAAGAAGGTGAGCTTGTGCCCATCCTAGGGAAGGGTCCCAGGCAGAGGGAGGGGAAGGCGACAGGTTTGCCTTCCCAGAGCTGCCTCCTGCCTCGCAGCTCCCGCCCTCCCTGCAGACGGCATCCTGTCCTTCTTGAAAAACAACAAGCCGGATGATGCGCTCTGCGTGCTGGGCCTCACACTGTCCGACCTGTATCCCTGCGAGGCCTGGAGCTTCACCTTCAGCACCTTCCTTCCTGGGCACAGTGAGTGGGGAGGGGCCTCACGGGGAGGCCAGGACCTAGGGAGGGGACACACACGGAAGCAGCCTCGAGGCCCACAGTCCTGGGTGAGGGCTGCTCCCCAGGCTTGGCTCATCCTCGGCTGTGGTTGGAGAGGATGGGGTGGGGGGACTGTGGGCTCCCAAGGCTGAGGCTGCCCCTGAGCCCCTCTTCCCCTCTTTCCAGAGGTGGGCATCTGCAGCTTTGCCCGGTTTGTGGGGGAGTTGCCACAGGCAGGGTCCAGTGCCCCCTATCCGGCCCCACTGGAGGCGGCAGTGGACGGCTCTGAGCGCCTGACGCAGGACAGCGGCCAGAGGCTGTGCTTCAGCGCCCTGGGGGTGGTACAGTGCTGCAAGGTGGGCATGGGCCTGGGAGGGCATGGGTGGGTAAGCAGATCCCGCAAAGCTCCCTGCCTGGTCAGTCCTCACCACGAAGCGGATGGTCCTCACTTTACAGAGCGAGGAAACAGGCTCAGAGATGCCAGGTATTTTTCCCAAAGCCACACGGCTGTGAGGCCACAGGTTGTGCTCTGACTCCATGTCTATCTGGCTCCCAGGCCCTTTGTGCCACCCGGGAGGGGTGCTTGGACCACTGCCCACAGTCTTGCCTTAGCCTGGGCTTGGGCTTCTTGAGAGCTGCCCAGATTGTCTGCAGGGTCACGGGTGGAGGCCCAGGCAAGGTGGTGTGCCCTCCCCCAGGTCACCTGTCACGAGCTCTGCCACCTGCTGGGCCTGGGGAACTGCCGCTGGCTGCGCTGCCTCATGCAGGGGGCACTCAGCCTGGAGGAAGTCCTGCGCTGGCCCCTGGACCTCTGCCCCATCTGCCTGCGAAAGCTGCAGCATGTCCTGGGCTTCCAGCTCCTGGACAGGTACAAGGTGAGCGTGGTGCGTGCTGCTGCCTGCGGAGTTACTCAGGTCAGTGGAGAGGAGCAGGCCCTCACTGGTCTCTCTGGCGGCAGGTTGGATCCTTAGCAGGGGTCTGGCATGTGGGGTACGCCCAGGACTGTGGCTGTGTTGGGTAGGGATGAGGGGCTGTTTCCTATCTCAGCCAGTTGGAGCCTGGCACTTACTGGGCACCTGTGCTGCTTCCTGCCCTGCCTTTATCTTCTCCGGAGTCACTTTCCTTGGGGTATGGGTCACTGCTGCCCAGAGGAAGCACAGTCACCGGGGAGGGAGACCCCCCCCGCCAAGTCCAGAGGGACAGGCACTTGGTGAGGGGGTGCTGCTCTCTGCAGGCAGCCTGGCCACATGGCCCATTCCTTACCGCTGCAGGAAGATTTGTTTGCACACTCAGAAACTGCTGAGTTCAGAGTGCAAAGCGAATGGTGTTTACTTTTCTTTAACTCCACCTTTGGCTTCAGTGAAGGCGGAGACTTGCCTCTTGGGAAACCAAACGTTTCCAGGCCCCTCAGGTGTGGACAACAGCTCTGGGAAGCTCCCCCCACCACCAGAGCAGAGGCTTGGGGGCTGGGGAGCCTGTGTCTCAGTGACTCAGTGGTCTCCTCAGAGGGGCAGCTGGTGTGACCCTTGCCACGTGGTGACACTCTGCACAGGCCACCGTCTTCATGAAGCTGTGTAATGGGTGAGGGGCAGCTCTGGCCTGCAGGGGATTGAGACTTGTCATTTTATGTCCATCGTTTGTGGTCCCGTTCAGTTATCCAATGTGAGCATTTTTACCTTTCCTGCCGCCTGCCTGCCTGGACCCTGATGAATAGCCCTGGTCATTCAGGACCCTCGGGGTAGGCATGGTACCTCGTTTGCACCCACACTCTCTGGGGTCCTTGGTGGCCACAGCTCCCTGGGGACAGGCTGGGGAGATGGGTAGGAGCAATGTGAGGCCTGGGGCGGCCCAATGACTGGAGCCAACAGGGGCCTGGCTAGAAAAGGCTCTGCTCTGTAGCATCTTCCAGTGTCCAGGGTCACTGCTGGGCGGTCTCGGGACTGCCCACCTGTGGGTGGGAACTTGTGTGGGAGTGACTGTCCAGCTTAGGCACAACGGGAGCCCCGCCCCCGAGGTGCTGGCCGCAGGGTAGCTGAGGACAGCTGGGGCCCCGACGAGTGCCCAAGCAGAGGACTCAGGTATGTCTCTCCCTCTCAGAGACTCCACACCTGGACCCAGGCAGTAGTGGGGACATGGCCCAGCCTGGAGGCCGGGGAGCCGTCGGTGTCCGAGACCACCCTGCCCGTCAGCGCCGACTCAGGCATGTGCTGTGAGAGTGACTCAGAGCCTGGCACCAGCCTGTCCGAGCCTGGCACGCCCGATGCCTGGAGTCGCACCTTCCCCGAGGGGCCGGAGGATGAGCTGAGTTCCCTGGCAGCCGCAGAGGTGCTGCCAAGGCTTGGGGGCCCTGTGGAGGCCATGGAGGAGCACGGACGGTGGCTGGCCACATGCATTGAGGCCCTGGAGCGGGAGGTGGCTGAGGAGGAGCTGGCGCAGGTAGACAGGGCGGTGGATGCCCTGGAGCCATGGGAGATGTTCACGGGGCGGCTCCCGGCCATCAGGCAGGACCGACCCTGCAGCAGGGATAGTGCAGGGCTGCGGAAGGTCCTAGGGGACAAGCTCTCCTCCCTGAGACGGCGCCTGGGCATGCGCAGGCTCTCCAAGGTGGATTCCTCCCCCTGTCACTGGGATGGGCAGGAGAAGTAGCGAGGCAAGGTGCCCTGCAGGGCTGAACACACTCCCTTCTAGAGGCCAAGCAGGGTGCCTCCTGTAGGTTCTTTGGGTCCCTGCGTCCACCCTGGCCATGGGTACCTGTGGCTGGGGGCCCTTCCCCCTGCTGGCTGGGGGACCTGCTGGTCTCTCCAGCCAGGGCCCCAGTGGCCGTCTAGGGGCTTGGCAGCTGTGCACCCACTTCCTGGGGGAAGCGATGGTTTGTTTCTGTGTTGCCCCTCTGTGGAACTTCAAGGCACTGCTGCATGGGTGGACTCAGTATTTGCTGGGGCTGCAGTTTCTCTGATAGCTGCTGTTGGAAAGGAGAGCATCTAGTTCTTAGGGTTGAGCACAGGAAGGGAGAGGCCTTCATTGTCCCTGGAGGCCACTGCATGCTATCACTGGCAGTGGTGGAAACAGACTACAGTGACATTTTGGGGCAAGTTTTCTGAGGCAGCTGCACCATTGATACCAGTTAGGCCAATACCAGGCAGGGATGGGTGTCCAGTTTATCTGTCTTTACAGATATTTTATTTTGTGGTCTGGTTCTATCAATTCCTGAGACAGGGGTGTTAAAATCCATCACAGTTATGGAGCTGTCTGCCTCCCTTCACTTTTGTGTCACATATTTTGAAGCTCTTTTGTGTGCACACACTCGATTGTGTTCCTGAAGTGACCAGTCATCACTGGTGTCCCGGCCGCAGTGTCAGAGTCACAGGGAGAGATGCTTCTGTGGCAGAATCCTAGGCATTCCCACCTGAAAAGAGCCGAGAGCAGCAGCCTGTGCATTTGCTGGCTGGGGGGCTCAGACAGCTTTGCAGCTTCTAAGAGAAACAGCCCACAGTACAAATATAAGATTAGCAGGGCCATGCAGAGGAGGGAAACTGATGCCTTCCTATGAACCAGTCTCAGGGCCTGATGGTGCCATCCTGGTCCCCAGGTTCAGCCTGGGCAGAGGAAGAGGAGGCAGACTCACAGCTGAGCAGCAGGGGGTGTCAGGCCCGTCAGGCCTCTGCTGTTTTGGCTCCAAAGAGACTGCCACACAGTCAGGAGGCCACTGGACAGGGTGAAGGGGAGCATGTGACAGGTTAGGAGCCCCAGGGGACACCAGGAGCAGGCGACATGGCAGCAGGAGTGGAAGGCCTGGCCCAGGTGCCTGTGGCTGCCAACAAACGACAGCCATTGCCCAGAAATCCAGTTCGGGCCGAGCGGGGGTGGGGGGTGGGGGGGTGGCCGCAAGCACAGCTGGGACCGCGGGCCTCAGCTCCGGGCTCAGGGCTCCTTACCCCACACACAGCATGGCCCTCCTGACTCAGCCTGGAGTTCCGGGTTGCCACTCCTCCCCCCATCTGGCCAGTCACTGAGCCCTCTGAGGGGCCCGGTGTGGCTTTCAGCCCAGTGCCCCAGCCTGCCCGTTTTCAGTGTCCTTCTGTCCTTGGTGAAAGGAGAATTGCTGAAATCAGATAAAGCAGAGCTGGTGAGAGCTCGTGGGGCCGGGTATGTGGCTCTAGTCCTCAGTGCTGTCCACCTGCACCTGAGCGAGGCCTTTGGCGCCCACCTGTCACATGTCCCCACAGAGCAGGAGATGGAGGCACGGCGGTGGAGGCACTCAGAGCAAAACTCGTACCCACAGCCTTTTCAAAGACGTGTGAACTCTGAAAGTTCAGCTTTAGGGTCGATCCATGTTCCTCTCTCCTCACCGGTCAGCCCCAGGTAAAGGGCAAATGGGGATGACTGCCATGGGAGGAGGGTCGTAGAGGTGACAGTGAGTGGGCTGCCTCAGTAAAGCTGCGGCTCCCGATTTGCACAGGCCCCGCTGTGTGCGTACTGAGAGGTTTACAGAAGATGGCCTCTGAGAGCACGGGGCCATGGGAGCCTTCAATGTCTCCCTTTTTCTTTTTCTTTCTTTTCTTTTTTTGTGGTACTGGGGACTAAATCCAGGGCCTTCACACTGAGCTGCATCCCCATCCCTTTAAAAAATGTTTGAGTCAAGGTCTCACTAAGTTGCTCAGGTGGGCTTGAGCCTGCGATCCTCCTGCTTTAGCCTCTGAGTATAAAAATTTCTTTAAAAACTGGGCAAAATTAGGTTGGAGCTGTAGCTCAGTGGCAGAATGCTTGCCTAACATGCATGAGCCCGCTGGGTTCCATCCCAGGATTGCTAAGGGGGAAAAAAATAAAAGTGACCACATAGTAGGCTTAATTGCTTCCTCATTTCCAAGTCAGCTGAGACCCCATGGGCTTGGTGGTCCTTCTGAGCTCCTTTCTCAGGCTGTGATGGGTGAGTATGGGTCCTGCATCTGGCAGCCCCACACCTGGAGCCCAGCCTTGCTGTGGGAGGAGCGGGGGAGAGTGCTCTGCTCCTAGGGCGGGGACGCATTGGGCAGGAGGCTGAGCCAGCTCTGCATGCATCTCCAGGGCAAGGTGGGGTGCTGCTGTGTGAGTCCTGTCTGGAGACATCAAGGCATCAAGGCAGAGCTCTGACACACACACACACACACACAGAGGCTTAGCCAAGCTGCTAATGGTGAAGCTGCGGGTCCAGATTTAGATCCCACCAAGTTCCCAGGGGCTGCTGGCATGTGCTGGGGACAGAAAGTCTGTGCACAGTGCCAAGATGAGGTGCCCTCCAGACCCAACAGGCGGGCAGGACTGTGCCTCTGAGACTGGCTGCTGGCCCCATGGCTGCTCGGGAAGGACAGAAGAGCGAGGCCTCCTGAGTGCTGGGAGTACTTTACACCCATCACTGTCAGTTCTCAAAACAACAGCACCAGGCAGATGTCATCAGCCCATTTCGTGCCTGCAGAAGCTGGTGCAGACAGGAGCGCTCACCTCTAGAGCCCCACAGGCTCCATTTGCCCCCTCTGAGTCCACCCTGGCTCCCAAGATCACAGGGAAGTGTGGCGGCTGCTACACCTCCAGACCCATGGAGAAATGAGGAGTGTGCAGTGGGCACCTAGCACCAGGTGAGGATGACAACCAAATCTGAGCCCAGAGGTGCTGGGGCTTCGTGGACTTGTTGGTATGAAGATGAGTCCCCGACAGGAATGGTTCCTTCCCATGGAGATGGAGCAGCAGGGCCCCCAGAGGCAGCACCCACACCCGGTGATCAGAGGCCGCCTTCCACAGGGCTCCCCATGCCGTGACAGGTGGGCAGGACGCCGCTGCTTCCTGGGGACTCCTGGGGCTGTGGACCCCTCTTGAGCCCGTTAGCTTGGTCCCTGTGGGGGCAACTGCACACAGGGACCTAGTCTCAAGGAAACAGCAGATCTATTTGGGACAATAGGCTGTCAAAGGTCCACAAGCACGAGTAACTGAGGAAACGCCCCGCTTCCCTGTAAAGACCTGGCTTTGAAAGCGGGTAGAATAGATGCAAAGAGCTGCAAGTGGTGATGGCCCTTTCCTTTTCCAGTATTCACAACATCCTCCCGCGGGTGAGAACCCAAAGTAACTGAGGGTAAGAGGCAAACAAAAATGAGCGTAAGCCAACAACTTCTGAGAAATGCCCACTGCAGGCACTATGAAGGGATTGCTCCTCAGGGGCTTTCAGCAGCCAGGCCAATCCAACCTCAGACCTGCTCTAAACCGGCCTTGGCCTCCACTAACCAGACCCGAGACCAGCCAGCTCCCCGAAGTGAGACCATCCCAATGTCATCCCCCAGCATGCTGGTGACACCACTGTCACACAGAACCAGGCCTGTGTCGCCTGGGCTTGTCAAGCCCTCATGGCCCTTACCCAGGCTTCTCTCTGGCACAGGGCTTGAGTATGTAGAAAACAGCGTTCAGAGAGGGTCACAGTCATGGCAGGCAGGCTGTGGCCAATGCCAGCTGTATTCCAAGTCGCGCTTCCAGGGGATAGCAGGAGAAGGTGCAGGGAGGGGCAGCGGTGAAAGGGTGACTTCGTGAGATGATACCAGGCCTCAGCCACTTCCAGTCCCCCCAGTGACACATGGGGGTCCCTTGATAACTCACCAGGCCTTCAGGGGATCCCCTAAAGGCCCACAGGGCAGCAGCGTCCCAGCCGCCACCCTACCTCCTCTGATGTGACAGTGAAGGCCGCCCGGGCTGGTGCGGGTGGCAGTCTGAAGGCCAATCACTTTCTCCTTCTGCTGTTGTGCCCACCTCCCCCAGAAGCATTGCTCTACATGGGGGTCTTGAGACCACAGCCCAAAGCTTGTCATGTACCCTAAGCAGGAGCCATGTCTACAAAAGGCAAAGGGGGACTGCCAGGGGAGGGCCCCACTGTAGGACCCCAGATTCCCTCGAGGCAGCAGCATCGGCTCTAGGACAGGGCTCTTAGCTGTGCGAACAGCTCTGCCTGGCCACATGAGGTATGAGCATGCCTAACTCGGCGGCAGTGTTAACTGCCCCGTCCACGTACTGAGATTGCCGGTATCTTTTTTTTTTTTTTTGCGAGGCAGGCACTGTGCCACTGAGCTAAATCCCCAGCCCGATTGCTGCTATCTTTGATGTACAGAATACATTTCTGTGTTACTCAGATTTTCCATGCCTACAGGTTACCTTTTCCCTCTCAATTCATAAATACTATGAAACTGAAATAAGGCCTTGAGCCAGTTGCGGTGGTGCATACCTGTCATCTCAGCACTTAGGAGGCTGAGGCAGGAGGACTGCCATGAGTTTAAGGTCAGCCTGAACAACATAGGTAAACCCTGTCTCCAAAAACCAAACAGAAAAAGACCTTGGAAGAGGAGGACACCAGTCTCAGAGTCTAAGTGAAAACAGGACAACTCATCATCTGAACTTGACCTGTGTGGGTGTTGAGGTTCCTGTTCAGCTGTTCACAAAATTGCCATCACTGCCGAGGCGAATGAAGGGAATGAGGCCAGGGCCATGCGCCCGGCCACCACTTATCCCTCTCCTGCCTGGTGGCCCGGGTACTAGACCCACATCCTACATCCACGTGGACCACAAGGAGGCCCCTGCTTCTGGAGAGGCACCACGTGGAAGGTGAGATTCTGCCCTGGAGGCCTGTGGATGCAACGGTGAACGTGTTCAAGGATCCACTGTTACCCACACTTCTGCTCAGAGGTGGCGGGTGGTGACCATGTTCAGGAAGGTTCCAGTGGGAGACAACATGCCAGGAAGACAGATGTAATTTAAGGCAAATTTTAATAATTTGTAAAAATCATATATACAAAACATGTTGAACCAACCACCATGGCTGCAAGACATACTCTGTACACTTTGTCACATACATCTTAGCCTAGACCCAGTACATGTAAGCGGAAAGCAGTTCCAGTGCAGTGGTCCTGCTTAGGTAGTTTTGATGGCCACTCCCCGGTGCCCCTGTGGCAGAGCATCGTGCCTCTTGGTGTTTAAGACCTCTGCCAGGCCAGGGGAGCTTCAGGGACAAAGCCATCTGCACCTCCTCCCTTCTACAGGCCCTCAGCTGCATTCAGTATATGGGCTGGGCTCCCTGGGTGACAGGTTAGGCACACGGTGATGCAGGACCGGGTGGTGCTGAGTGGGGCCAGCACATTAACAGTGGGGACAGACAGGACCATGGTGATGGGTTTTTGTTGGTTGTAGTGGCATTAATGGATGCTGAGACTGTTTTAAGTCAATCTGCGTAAGAGGTCAAAGGTAATTCTGTGAGGTTCCTGGGACTGGCAGAGTTGATGCAGCGCTACCTTCATGTTTCCAGACCCTGTGGGCAACTCACACTTGCACTGCAGCCCAGCTCACAAAAGCTGGTGAGAAGTTCTGTTCACTGATCTGAAGGTGAACCTGGAAAAACAGCATCGTCCTGATGGCTGAGGAGAGCAGGGAAGCCTGAGACTTGACATTACTGGTCTCAGGCGCAAGTCTGGTTCGGTTCTTGATGTCTGTTTCCAAGTCTGCCTTTGCTGTGCACCAACCTCACTGAGGCAGAGACCTCCAGAGTTACTCTGAAGCTGTGGATTGGGGTGGAGGGGACCCCAGTTGGGCAGGATACATGGCACGCACCTCAGAGCTCTCAGACCGTGGTGAGCTTGCAGACCAGCTGAGGATGGTGGCTGCAGGGTGGAGCTGAGGTTAGGTCCTCATCTCTGGGAAGTGAGGAACAGGCCAGATGACTGTCCTGCAGATGTGAGGCCTGCGGGTTCCATCACACAGGAAGCTGAAGGGCAAGGTTAGATGCCAGGGCAACCTTCATCTCAGTGCACTGGGGAAGGCCCTGTGGTCGCCCGTGCCCTCCGTTCTGGGCAGGAAACCTGTCTATTCTCAGTGCTCCCATTTCCTACCCCTTGTGATGTACGGACAGACACCAACTCCTGAGGACACCCATCCTGCCGGGCTATTTTGGTGGCCTCTGCTCCTCTTCTTCAGCTCTGGGAGTGGTTCTGTTGCACAGGAATTTCACGTGTGGGAACTGCTTAGCTTGCTAAGGGACCGTTCAGCAAGGTGTGGGCAATATCGGAGATACGAAGTATAGCCGTCCTGGGGGCTCACAGAGTGGGATGGCCGCAGCCTGCAGGTGGGCAGAGCTGTCTGCTTGTTCTGGGTGTGAGGCATTCAGGGTAGTGAGCAGGAGGGGATGAGGGGCTTCAGGCCACTGGTGACCTGCTTGTAGTTGGAAGTCAGTGGTCACCGACAGAGACATCAGTGCTGCAGTTTGGAGGTCAGACCCCCTCCTCTAACATCCTGAGAACAACCAGGCTTCAGGTTCTAGAGAGCTCTGAATGGGACAGACCACAGGTCTCCAACGCTCTGATGTCCCTCCTCAGGACAGCATGTGAACAGTCTGGAAATCTGGGCTGCTCAGGCAGAAGTGGTGCTGCCCCAGCTGGGGTTACCTCCCAGATTCAAGACCTTCACCCTCCCTGGATATGGGCACTAGCTGGCGTGTCACCTGCCCTGAAACACGGTTCATGCAGCAGTATCAGCTCCTGGCCCATCTGAGCTGCACCCAACAGCTTTTTACCTATGGATCAGACCCCTTCTCCCCAGGGCCCAGTGCAAGGCCTCATGTCGGGGCTGGAGCCAGAGACCATGTCAGCCCCGTCGGCTGGGTGGACTCTCTTCCAGCACTTTCTTTATGCAAGTGTGTGGGCTGCTGGCTGGAGCCCCAACCTTGGCTCTCAGACTGGGCCAGGCCCGGGACCCCCCAGGGCCAGGGTGACAGGAACACGGGCCCCGCCCCCAAAGCTCCCTGGAGAAGCTGGCCCCAGGCATCTGTACAGATGCCCACTCAGGCACAGGAACACCTTGTTGGCAGGCAGGGGCTTCTCTCCTCCCGAGCTTGCTATTGTTCACAGCCAGGGGCTCGCTCTCTGGTGAGTGACCTCGGTCACCATGCTAAATTCAGGACTCCACCCACTTGGGGGACACTTTGAGGACAGTCTACTCTTGAGGCCCTCTACCCTGCACTCATCTTCCGGGACACACAGATGAGGGTTAGGTCTGAGAGATCCTGAGAGGGGCAGAAGCTGCTCAGGGGAGCCAAATGTGTCCCCTGATCTGAGAATCACCATTCTGTCCGACTTTCACAAATGGAGGCACTGAGACCCAAAGCGCTGGGCCCTTGGCCTTGTGGGCATGGTTCCTGGGGTTTTCTGCTTTTCCCACTGGATAGCACAAGCCCTGCTGGCCGCACAGACAAGGGACCGAGTGACACGCAGTCTCCGTCCTAGAAGCCTGCTTGCTGGGAAAGTGAGGAGCTGGGTAGCAGCTGTGCTGATGACTGGAGGGCCTCTGGGCTCTGTTCTCTGGCTGGAGCCGTCACCTACCCCCAGGAGTTGTGAGCACAGGGCCTGCCCCATTTCCTGGGCCCTGCTGGTCTCCAGTCAGTTGCTGGATCCTCCCTCAGCGCTCTCACACACGAGTGTGCATTCACGTCTGTGCTACATGCTGCTTTCAGGCACTTCGGAGGTGATGGTCTTCGTTCCAGATAGGATTTCTGAGGCTGCCTCACACACCGGCTTTTCTGGTGTGTGGAAACGGAAGCTGCGATGGACATGAGTGGACCTTCTTCAAAGGAAACTAGGGCTGGAGTTTCTACTGAGAAACAAAGAATCGGTGTTCACTGTGAACACTGAGCGATATTTTATATTAAACAAAGAAATCTAAGGCTTCATTTTAATCAGCATCAGAGACCAAAGGGGCTCAAATCTTCAAGCCAGACCTTCCTGTCCACTGCTAACGCAGGTGCAGAGTCAAAGCTGTGAGCGGCTGGGTCTGAATGGCCACCCCAGGGTGCCTTCATCCTGTAAGGCCAGGTGAGGAAATGGGTCCCAGGACCCCCAAGTCTGTCACTCACAGCTGAACAGCTTATTTCAATATATATATATATATATATATATATATTTATATTTTCACTTTTCTTTTTTGGTACCAGGAATCGAACCCAGAGCTTCGCGCTTGCCAGGCAGGCGCTACACCACTGAGCTAAATCCCCGGCCCTCAATATATTTTTTTGATCATGGAGTTAAAATAACTGTACTCATTTTTTATCAAAGAAGTAGGAAAATTACAAGAATAAGAATTCTACAGAACTCTATAAATTGGGCTATGACTCAAAATCTTCGATTTCTTTACAAATAGAAGAGTTAAAAATAGATATCAGTAAAGATCTACACTGTGTTCTTTAATAGAAACAGTATAACTATGAGGAAGAGTCTTATTTTGAGAAAGTTTATTGTTACATTTCTGCAGTAATAGATGAGGTATGACTACCTCCCGCTTCTCCAACATCTGCAATAAAAAAGACAACAGTCAAGGGTAACAGTGAAATTAAAATAAAAAAATACAAACAAGCCTAAGGTTTTGGAGACAAAAATGACTAAGATCTATGTGTAGAAAAGTTGTAAATGATCTCAGTTTAGCCTTCGAACAGGGCTCTTCTCCAATTTGGACACCTCACAGAGTTCCGAGTAGGGTGTCCTTCCAGATGGATGCTCTAATCCCCTGTGTTAGGAAGAGGCTGTGCAGGCTCAGCTAGCTCAGCTAGCTAGCTCTCTGTTGAGTTAAACAGAAGTTACCATACCTCATCACCCCTGTGCTTCTGGGCTTGAAAGTGACTGTGTGTACGTCAGGCTGGGAGAGGGAAAGCTCTCCTGCAGAGGCTGGCTTGGGGCACCAGCCACAGTGGCCTCCAACAGAGCCAGGGAGCGTGCCCCAGCATGAGGGAGGAACAGCACGAAGCCTAAGAGATGTGTGAGATACAGAGAACTGTAGACAGGCCACCCTTCACTGTGCCCAAATACGCCTGCCCTAATAGGCCCTACCAAGGCCACTCATTCCCTTAGACATAGCATTAGCCCTGGTGTCACCCCTCAGCCTTGAAGATCTGTACACGAAGGAGTACAAAAACAGCAACTTCTCTTCAGCCAAAGAAAAGAGGCAAAACCCCAGCAAACACTGACACAAACGCTTGAACACTGAAAGGTTTCCTGCTGTCCCCTAATGAAAGCACTGTGATCACAGGATGACTCAGAAGCAAGCTTCTCTCCCTCTTTGGTCTAGTGTCAGCCACAGACTCCTATTTATCTGCTTGCTGAAAAGAGCCAAGAGCAAGAAGCATATGGGACACAAGGTCAGGAGCAGCGTGGCCTTGGGACAGGGCCCTCAACGGGCTAGTGAGCTGCAGCATCTGTTGCCAACTTCTCTCTTTGAGAAAAGCCTTCCTTCTACTCCCAGACAAGACTCTTGGGAGAGTAACGGAGGGCCGGTTTGGAGTGCAGTGTGTTCATAAGCACAGGGACACACCGGGCAGGTAAGTGGACAGGCTGCCACGGCACCGGCTCACATCTGCCCGCCAGCCTCCCACCCTGCAGCAACACAAGCGAGAGTCCTGCCAGGAATGAGACCGAGGGCTGTGCTGAGCACAAGCTCCCCTGGGTTTCCAGGGCTTTCTGAGAAGTCAGCTGTGACAGACTCTGGAGCAGCCAGGGCACTCACAAAAGCTCTGTGAGTGCTCCTGTCAGCTTCTGGAAGCCCAGGAACAGGAGATGACGCTCTCCACTATTTCCCAAAGAAGGGGTGCTACATGCTGCCAACTGTCCTGTCAGGAGACGACTTGTCAGACTAAGAAGCCATCTGCAAGGCCACTTGGTTTATGTATCTTTGCCATCAGGTGTGGGGGAGGGTAAGGAGGTGAAAAGCACCACTGTGTGACCCAGACAGCAAGAGCCGTGGCGGGTGGCCACCCGCACTCTGCGCTGTGTCGCTGGGCAAGCCGACGAGACCAGGCCTGTTGCCAGGGCATTAAGGCAGGGCCACAGCCCCCAACCTCGTCTTTCACAGTGGGAGCAGAGTGCCCTGGCACAGCCCCTCAGGGCACCTCACACACCTAGGACATTGGCATAGTTGTGAAGGCAGTGTGTTCACTTTGGGAGGTGGTGCTCAGACCCTGAGCCAGGACTGCAGGGCCATCTTGAGCTCTGAGCTTAGCAGCATTGCCATGCATCTCTACAAAATACTGCAAGGCAAAGCTTTCGGGTTAGTCTGTCTCTGCGGAGATTGCAAGTTAGAGGAAAGCCATCTGCGAGGCCAGCTGGGTCTGCATTTCTGTCATTAGAGAGTGAGTGTGTGTGCACACACACGACCTTTGATTATATTGTGTCAGGAAAGGCATAGGGTTTCTGTAAAAGAAGGAAGCTGTGTTATCAGGGATTACAGATTAACACCAAAGTGATCACTTGGGATTTCAGTAGTTTCACTAGTCCCCCAGATTCAGTAGCTAACATCACAGTCCCCATGTCCTTTTCCTGACGCTTGCTGGCTAGGCTGCTGTCCAGCATTGTGGGGCCAGGTGTCCAGTGATGTGGATCTGAGAATGCCACAGAGACACACCCCCTGTGAGACCCGGCCGGCAGCCACGGGGCTGCTCAGGGATGCCATGAGACGAGAGGCTTTCTCCTTCACTGCAGCATGATGTCCTTCAGGTTCTCCTGCAGGATTGTGTCCTTCACGGCGTGGAACACGAAGCGGATGTTCTCGGTGTCGATGGCAGTGGTGAAGTGGTGGAACAGGGGCTTACTGCGGTTTCGTCTCTTTCTGTCGAAACACTGGACCAGGTAGCGCTGGACGTCCTCCAGCCGGTGTGGGTCGCCCTTGAAGTCTGGGAAGTGCTTCTTGATGCTGACTGTCTTCACCTTCTCCACCAGGAGGTCCATCTTATTGAGGAACAGGATGATGGAGACGTTGAAGAACAGCTTGTTGTTGACGATGGTCTCAAAGATGTTCATTGACTCTACCAGCCGGTTGGTGCACCTGTCCTCCATGAGGACCTGGTCAAACTCACTTGAGGACACCATGAACAGGATCGATGTGATCCCGTCAAAGCACTGGAACCACTTCTGGCGCTGAGACCGCTGGCCACCTACGTCCACCATCTTAAAAGGGATTTTTTTAATGATGAAGTCATGTTCCACAATTCCCTTGGTGGCCTTCCTGGCTAGCAGGATATCTTGCTTACTAGGGAAGTAATTCTGTAAAATATGGGATGCAGGGCATTCAGGAGGGGAAGAGAGAACAGGAGAGAGAAAGAACAAAAAGCAAAAAGACAGAATGGAGGGAAAAGTTACACCAACTTGCAATATATTTAAGCAAACACTAAAAGCAAATTTCATTTATAGAACTATAAATTTACAGTGAAGCAAAGTGAAGAAAGGATTAAGTGCATTTCAGTCTAAGGAAGAATGACCGGAATCCTCACTTCCGGGCTCTGGTGTAAAATTTCACCCATTTTCTTTTCCAGAAGAAATTCACTGTCTTTTTCGGTTTGTTTCTGCACCACAGCTACATTTTACTTTTCTCATTTCTAAAGCATATGCATTATTTTTTTTTTGGTACCAGGGATCGAACCCGGGTCCTTGTGCTTGCGGGGCAGGTGGCAGAACCACTGAGCTAAATCCCTGGCCCGAGCATATGCATTCTAAAACCTTATTATAGGCTGTTCTGCGATGCAATTTATATTTAATGTTCAGTATAACTAACATGCTATTCTTAGAAAAAATTTTTTTCTTTGGTGCTGGGGACAGAACCCAGGGCCCTGTGCATGCTGAGCACACCCTCTGCCATCAAGCTCCTCCCAGAAAGCCCCTCGGAAAACTCTTTAGTCTTTAGCAGCACAAACACAATGGCGGCAACTCTCCAGCCACTCTAGTCATGCATTGTTGTGTCCTTTAGGTCCCGGTGCACAAAGCCACTCACAAAGTAGTCTCCCCCAAATTCCTAACCCTAAACTCAAACTGGAAGGCTGGCTGCCAGTTCACAGGGCATAAAGGGGACAGAGGAGCAATGTCAACCACACTGTAGGGCAGGTCAGCAAGATCTAGACTAAGATACCCCATAGGATGAGTGATCTAGTTACTTCAGTCAATAAATGAAGAGGAAAAAAAGGTGGGAGGAGAAAATAGATTAAAAGAAATTTAAGTGACACTGATCAATTGTGATAAATGGTCCCTACTAGGATGCTGATTCAAATTGTTTTTCTTAAAAAAAAAAGGCAGCAACATCACCAGGAAAACATTAATAAGGCAGCTGGGAAAAGTCTCAGAACCAGATATTGGTTGACAGGAAGGAACTGTTGCTAGTTTTTCAGGAGCTCAGGGGTATTGTGGCTGTGACTTTTAGAGTCTCATCTTTATTTTTTTTGGTACCGGGGATCGAACTCAGGTCCTTGTGCCTGCAAGGCAGGCGCCGGAACCACTGAGCTAAATCCCCAGCCCTAGAGTCTCATCTTTTAGTGAGCGATATGCTCTAGAACTCCAGTGTTGAAAGGGTGTGATGCTGGATCTGCCCTTGGGGGTCAGCAGGGCACAAGTGACCCTCACTTGGGATGCACTATACTACTTGTTTTTGGATTTGCTTGACTTTTCCATTAGGAACAAGTTACAGGAAACCCTCCATTGATGGAAGGACTCCTCTGTCCCCTCACAGTGATTTGGGGTAAGTCCTTCTCACAGAGCAATTTCTTTCTTTTTTTTCTTGGTTTTTTTTTTTTTTTTGATGCAGGGTTTCACAATGTAGTTCAGGCTGGTCTTGAACTCACTATATAGCCCAGGCTGGCCTTGAACTCACAGTGATCTTCCTGCCCCAGCCTCCTAAGTGCTGGGATTACAGGTGTGCCCCACCATGTCCAGCATCATAGCACAATTTCTTTTTTTTTGGTACCGGGGATTGAACTCGTATAGCACAATTTCTTTCCTTCCACCTTGGACAAAATAGAGATCCAAGCAAGAGCATGACATTACGGTACTGTTCAGGGGAGCTGGAATAAACACACTGTCCCATTAGCATAGCCACAGCTCTTATTGCTTGCTTTGGTATCAACAGAAAGGTTTTCTAACCCTGGATGTCAGACAGGGGGATGGGGTGTGTTACTCACCAGTTGGCCGATCCGGTCCAAATTATCCAGGAAGTACTTCACTGATTCACCCTGTCACAGAGGATAAACATTCGACACTCAGTATGGATTAAGGGACCTGATTAAAAGGACTGAGTAGGGCAACAGCAAAGTTATTTTGCTGTGCAAACAGGAAAGCAAAGTAAAAAGACAGAGTGCACTTTAATTTTTAAAATTAAAAACACAGTTTTAAAAACAATGCTGTTTCTCTAGCTCCAACCTCGAGACTCAAAATCTGACTATCTTTCTCAAAGTTGCCTTGCCACATACAACCTGATGCCTGGTGGGTGCTGGGCACCAGGGCAGAACAGGGCCAGAACCAGGACCCTGGACATTGGCTTTAAAGATAGGAGATCCTGAAGAGAAGCGGCAAAAACCACCTATTTCCCAGTTTCTAGAGGTACTCCATTATGACTTCACATACTTACGATGGTCTGATTTACAGTATAGAATGAGGAGGATCTTTCATTTGCATGTTTGTGGTGGTCTGACCAGTCTTTCTCCTGGACTAAACACTGACACACACAGAGCCACATTCCACAGCCAGAGAGGCACCTTCAGGGTCACGCATGAGCCTGCTTGAGGAAATGAATGACTTCGTGCACTCATGGGGTGTGAGGAGTTGAGGGCCTCAAATGTGGACTTACATGGGGCCAAGTGTAGGGCAGGCAGGTGTGCCAGGCAAGCAAAAGCTCTCCATGGAAAGCAGGGTGCTGGACAGCAACTCCCACACAGGACAAGGGTGCTCTCTTCAAGAGGCCGCCCTGGGACCTTACTCTGAAAGATGGATCCTAATGAGGCTGGTCTTGAGTGTGATCATCACAGGGGTTTGTAGAACAAGTCACACTGCATCTTCTCATGCACATGGACAGAGGCCAGGCCACACACACACACAGATTTCTAAGAAGATTGTTGGAAGGGCACCAGATCACAGCTTGTGATTTCACAAGAAAAAGGACAAGGAGTGACAGGAACTACTAGCCCCGGGTGAGACTGTCTTTCCCTCCTCTCTGCCCCAGATGGCCCAAAGGAAGGACTGGAGAGCAATTTCCTTGAGTGAAGGGTCAGCCTTCCCACTGTGGAATGAAGGCCCTGGGGATGATTCTGTCTAGGGGATGAGAACACACAGACATTTCTCCCCTTCCAGCACGGATGCTAATCAGCAAGGTGGTTTCTTCCTCATGTCGATGTGCTGGAGCACGGGCTGCTTTGGTGGGGCCCTGCCCTGCAGTGGGTAAAGGCACGGGGTGCACGATGGAGTCCTTACCTGCCCAGGCTCCGCAGTATGGCCAACTGACCCCACGCCGCTCTTTCCCTCTGCACAAACCCTTCCACGTGAGGAACCATCACATAGACAGTGAAAGAGCTTGGCCCTTCCCGCCAGTGGCTCCAAGCCTTCCACCTTGGCACCACTGCCTGTCCCCCACATAGGCAGGAAGCAGCTGGTGGGCGGGGGTGGTGGTTGGATGCAGCGCATCTGACTCAGGAAGTCTTCCTTCCCCAAGATGCCTTGCTCTTCCAACTCCTGCCTTTCACTCTGGGCCTGGGGATGGTCAGGAGAGCTCAGCAAGCATCATGACATGTCCCTCACATGCCCTCCAGAATGTCCTGCAGGCAGGCTCACAGGGACAGCAGCTCTCCCGGCAGGGGTTTTAGCTGGTTGGACATTACAAGTCATAGCAATGCAGATGCCGTAGCCAATGTTCTTGCCACCACAAGATATGACGAGACTTGGGCACAAGTAAAACAAAAAGGGCCTCAGAGGACATAATCAAGGATAAAGGTAAATACAAAGTATTTAGATAGTAAGAGTATTTCCACAGTTTGCATTTAAATATCCCTACTGAGTTTGAAATCAGTGTCTTCTAACTATACTTTGAAACATATCAATGTTAATACAGAAAAATGTTTGTCTTTCTCCACCAAAATGGCCCACTCTCTCAGTTTGTTTTATTTCTTTGAATGCACATAAGTTATTTAAGGTTATTCTGTTTTAGAACCAGCCAACCATGGACTGAAACCTCTGAAACTAGAGCCAAATAAACCTCTCCTCCTTAAGTTGGGGGTGTCAGGTATTTTGTTCCAGTGATGGAAAAGTGACTCATCACACCCTCCTTCACAACAAGAAAACAAACAAACAAGCAAAAAGGAAAATCGACTACTTAAACACATCAGAGAACTGAGGTCACAGGGCAAACTGTTGCTCCCAAACTGGAAAGACAGGCAGGCAAACACAGAGAACTGAAGCTTAGTAGGAGCAGAGAGTATAGACAGAGCCAGCAACTGATATGTTCTATGCAGCTTTCAAGAAATACCAGAGCCATATTAGAAGACAAAAGAAAAACAACAACAAAACTCACTATAGCTTGAAGAGACAAAGCAAGCGTCAGAACAAGATTCACATATGGCAGAGGTTTAGAATGATCAGATTGGGAATTTGAAATAACTGAGGAGTATGTCAAGAATGCTAATGGTGGAGGCGACAACATGCCCAGACAGATGGAAATGTACGCAGGAGAGCCAGGAACTACAAAACAGAAGCACCCTGCAATGTATACATCAAGAGGGAATCACAAAGTAAAATAGAAAATACTTCGAGCTTAATGAAAATAGTAACATCAAAATTCCTGAGCTGTGGCTACTGTAGTCTTTAGAGAGGAAATCTGTACTTTCAAATGTTCTTGTTAGGAAAGATAAAGGATCTGAAGGTTTTACCTCAAGGGCTTAAAGCAGAGCAAGGTAAAGCAAAGGTGAGCCAAAGGGAGAGATGACAAGTTAGGAGCAGATACTCATGAGACGAAGGAGGACAGGGGAAGGGGGAAAATAAGAACCAAGAGAGATTATGTAAAGGTGCAAATTTCCAATGATGAATGTCATTATATTGTATACCTAAAATGTACCAGTAAAATTAATAAAAAATAATCTTCCCAAAAGGAAAACTTCAGGCCTAGATAGTTTCCTGGTGAATCCTATCAAATATTCAAAGAAGAAATAACGCTAATCTTATGCAAATTGTTTCCCAAAAAATCACAGAGGAAGAGAATTCTCACCACATTTTATTAGGCCAGCATAACCCTGATACCAAACTGACACTACTGAAAAAGGTAAATTGGATCCCAATATCCCTTTTGAGCATAATCTTAAGCAAAACCTCAGCAAATGCAATGCAACAATATAAAGGAGAGTACATCAGTAACATAGAATATGAACACTATTCTAACAAAATAAGGAAGAAAGGACATACGAACAGTTTAATGCATAAAAAAGGCACTTGAAAACATTGACATACATTCAAGGTTAAAAACTCCCATTGTGCACTACAAATAGGCTGGTGAAGGACAGCTGCACAAGACCTCCAGTTAGCATGTCATGAATGGTGAGGTGCGGAATGCCTTCCTCTAATGCTGGGGAACACAGGGGTGCCCACTGTACAGCTCTGGCCAACACTGCAAGGGCGCCCACAGGTGCAGAGCTGTGAGACAGCAGGTTGGCACACACACAAAGCAATCAAGGAGCGGTGGGGGGGAAGACTGGGAAGCAAGAGATGAAACTGAATTTGTAGGCTTCATAACTGCTCAAATAAAAAATCCTGAGAAATCTATAAAAGAGCTAGTGATAGAACCAGTAAGTGAGTTTAGCAAATTCAGAAGATACAAGGTCAATGTACAAAAATCAGGAGTATTTTTATATACTAGTAGTAGAAACAATAAAAAAAGAAGCAATTCCATTTATAACACCACTAAGAAACAAAATGTTTAGGGGTAACTTTTTTTTTTTTGCTACCAGGGATTGAATTCAGGACCTTTCACTTATGAGGCAGGGGTGGTGCCACTGAGCTAAACCCCCGGCCCTAGGGGTAACTTTTTTATTTGCTACACACTATGTATTCTGAAATATTTATAGATGCACAGGAAGTCCCAAAGATCATACACAATGGTTTCATGTACTTGTCACCTGTTTTTCCCAGGGTTACACCTCATAAACATACAGTACAATATCAAAACTAGAAACTGTGCACGTGTGTGTGTGTGTGTGTGTGTGTAACACACACACTGAGGGTGGAACCCAGTGCCTCAGGCATGCTAGACAAGTGCTCCCTCACTGAGCTACACCCTTAGGCACCTCCTCCCTTATACATTCTTTGTCACCATGCCTGGCAGAACCAGGGAGCTGACATTGGTGTAATGTGTGTCGAGACCCAGCACTGCAGCCCTGCAATCAGGACCCAGGGCCGTCCCATCACCAGGGCCTCTTGTTTTCTACTGGGGTAATGCTCTGCATACTGGGTTAGTACAGTTTTGAGGGTAGGCATGGGTCTTTTCAGTCTATATGTTTTCTTTTCATGTCAGGATCTTTTACAGAGCAAAAGTGTCAAATTGTGATGAAACCAAAACTATTTCTTAAAGATTTCTTTTTCTCTTACCAGCCACATTTTAGGTGTCATGTCTGAGAACTCTTCACCAAGTTCTGGGTCCCAAGGAGTTTCTACTATGTTATCTTCCCAGAGTTTCAGACTTCTACATTAAACTCTGTGAGTCAATTTTAGTCAGTTTGTATATAAGGTGTGAGATTTAGGCCACGGGTCAGTTTTCTTGCTTACAGATGCCACTGGTTGCAGCACCATCTGTTGAAAGGCACCCTTGTTTGGGACTGCTATGCCCCTCCATTAGAACCCAGCTGGCACAGCAAGCAGCTGTGCATGCGTCTGTTTCATGGACTCACATGGCCACCCCTTTGCCAGCCCACACAGGCCCTAGTGCTGCAACTCCACAGTAGCTCTACCCTCAGAAGAGGGCTCCCTCCCACTGTTCTCCTCTTTTCATTTTTTTTTTGGTGTGGCTATACCAGTGCCTTTCTAGGCAAATTTTAGCATAGTCATGTCTGTATCTACAGACCTGGAGAGATTTTGGTAGGAACAGTTGAATCTGCACACCAGTTTGGGAAGAAGTGACCTCTTTACAACACCAAGTTTTCCAATCCATGAACAAAGCACCGTGTTTTTCCTCATCATGTAGATCATCTGATTTTTTTTT